CGGTGGTGCGAGGAGGGCATGGAGTTTTTCTAAATACTAAATATTTGAGGAGCTCCTTGTTTACGTGTGTGTGTTTGTTTGTGTGTGTACGTGTGTGTGTGTGTTTGTGTACGCTTGTATGTAAGTATGTGTGTGTATTTGTTTGTGTGTATGTTTTTTTGTGTGTGTACGTGTTTGTGTTGATGTACGCTTATATGTTAGTATGTGTGTGTGTTTGTTTGTGTGTGTACGTGTTTGTGTCTGTGTTGATATACGCTTGTATGTTAGTATGTGTGTGTGTTTGTTTGTGTGTGTACGTGTTTGTAGTACCTGCGTGTATGTCAGGAGGTTGAGACGGTGAAAATTTTAACTGAAGACTGAATAGCTGCAGAGGAATGACAAAATCTAAAGAAAAGAACTAAAATAAAAATTGTTGAATTCAACAAAAAAAAAGAAATGAAAAAATCAGTAAATCTTCAAGCATGTAGGGTCTGAAATTTTGTAACGAGATTTTGAAAAAGCGTAACAAAAATCGATTCTAAATTGAAATAAAGTGTTATAAGCAAATCAAAAACAGAATTTAAAGATTAGTTTCAAGTCTAAAATGACTTACCTTTTTATTATTTTTATTAAATAATAAATCTAACAACTCTGATTTATAATTGTCTTAACATAATTCAACTGCTTAAGTAAAGTTCATCTGTATATATAGCTGGTGGCTCAGTCTTCTAAACCGGATACATTTTTTTGTATAACCATACACCCATACAAATTTTATCATAGTAAATGTTCAACTTTGGTGTTGAATAAACTGCAAATTACAGCTTTATACCAACTGAACACATTTTAACATCTCCTCAAGATCTCAACTAATGAACTAAAAAACTTCTCCATTCAAAATTCTACGCGAAAAATTTTCAAAATTAGAAACCGATTGAAAAGATGCAAAAGGTGAGATCATCGCCATCAAATTCAAATCCTCTAGCTTCAATAATTTTTTTATCAGGAAGACTGCATTGGCAGTACTTTAGAGAGTGATGATCAGCGATCATGGTCATGAAGAAATTAAAATCGTATACATGAACATTTGGTTTGTTTATGTAATTGTTTGTCTAGCTATTTGTTTGTTTATTCATTTGTTTGGTTGTTAGTTTGTTTAACATTTATATAAAAGGACAAACCAACATTCGTACAAACAAACAAGGAAACGAACAAACATAAGAGTTTGTTTTAAACACTTCCCTACTTAATCATAATGAAAAAGAAAAAATATGAGAGAGAGAGAAAGAGAGAGAGAGAGAGAGAGAGAGAGAGAGAGAGAAAGAAAGAGAAAGAGAGAATAATTAAGATAGGGAGAGGCAATCAATACAGTGGATTCACGTGTCTTGTTCAGCTTGTGAAATGATTATGATGGCAACCAGGTGTATCCATACAATTATGCCAGTGCATACAAATTTACAAATATCGATGTAAAACTATCCATCAATCTTTGCACAGAGGTACGTAATTTTATTCATTCGTTCATTCATTCACTCACCCATTCATTCAATCATTCATTCATTTATTCATTCAATTTTTCATTCATTAATTCATTCGTTTATTCGTTTATTCATTCATTTATCCATCCATTTTATCTAAAGCATTTTTCAAATACATTCAATAAGTAAATCCATATGTTTATTCAGCGCTCTTCTTGCACAATCTTCTTTCTTCCTTTAGTAGTATTTTTTGTGCGTGCATGCGTTGTTGTTGCGTTGCAGCAGCAGTTGCACTATCAATTGGTCCATTGAGTTTCTTATTACATCCACTTTATTTTTAACTACTTCCAATTTGTGTGTTATTTTCAAGCCACATTCATTCAACGGGATGAGATAAGATAGAAATGTGCTCGGTTTAATTGAACTCTGCACTAATTAAAACAACAACCGTGTTAGTCTTGCAAGTTCGAAGTATTTTTAAGTTAAATTTGTTATCTATAGAATAAAATTAAAAATATTTTGGGCGAATGAATTTTTAAATAATTGTCATGCATGTATATGTTTTACAAACGCTCATAACAGCCCATTCAACTCAATTAAAATTCAGAGAACGTTACGTTCAAGATGTTTAATAAAATTACGCTAGCTGATTAATTGACTGGCGAATTGAGATTATCATCTTCAAAGTTTTCAACACCGAGACATCAAAATTCGAGGATGTGTTGCCTTAGAGCAATTACAAGTTATTTCAGTTGGACTTAAAAATAAAGAATTTGCGTTTCATGGATGAACATTTTTATCATCATGAGGAAAAAGTAAAATTACAGAAACTAAAAATAACTTCAAACACCTACCTTCTTAATCTCACGCAAGTACGTACAGGCATCGTAATTATTATTACTGAAACAAAATTTCAAACGCAACTTCTTTGCACGGAATAAACCGGCCTTGGGCAATTTCTCGACAATAAATTGCAAAAACGAACCACACCAAGCTCATTCTCGTTCATGTGACTCCTGATTGAGTCATGATGTGACGGGTGAGGCATTGATGTACTGGATTTGAGTGTTTTGTTTTGTGATTATTTGATGCCAGCAGGGCAGACCAGCTACCCACATCAGAGACTTTATGTAAATTTTAATTTCTATAAGGTTTGAGCTTTTAAGAACAGTACAAGTCTACAATTCCTGATAAAAAACATGTGTGTACTTTTATTCAAAACATAGAAAATTGTTACCAAAAATGTTACAATGTTATCTATCAAATACAAACAATCTCAAAAGTGTCATCTATTAAATAACCTTTTATTTCAAACTCAATTTATCTTCAAACAAAAATTGAACTAAATCATTTAATCGCGGAGATGTACCAAAGTTTCTTGAAACAAACTGGATGCCCCTTGCCTACTCAATGAAACACGAGGGGCAACAACAAACTCAATGCAAAGCATGATAGACAGAACAGATATATACAATTGATAGGTAGGCCTACAAATTCCAAACTCTAAATATTATTCTCACCTCATCTCAACCATTCACACATTGTTGTGTTACATTTCGTGAAATGTTTCCGGTACACTCACATGCACACGCACATACATGACTCATCATTACACATCAACACGTCTTTCCAGCCCTCATTCCAAGCAATGGATGAATATTATTCATATTATTTAATTTCAACCTATATCAAAAGTCAGTGCACTCACATGGAGGTATACTATATATACTATACATATATAAGCATAACCATCTGATATATAATATATATATATATATATATAATTATTTATATTATTATTTAATTATTATATTATTGATAAAAATCACAGCATGTTCCGCGTTAGTTAACCGTGTATCAATTCGAAGATGGTATAGGAATAGCGAAAAAAGCTTTCTTGTTCTATCATGCTTAAAATGAATAAAAATTTTGGTTTTGAACTGAAGAAACATGACAACGATTCACGACCTACCGCTAGAAAAATCGAAAAATTAAACAGGAAGCTAACTAACGCGGAACATGCTGTGATTTTTATCAATAAGTACATTTCTGACAGTCTTAATCCTATATATATTATATATATATATATATATATATATATATATATATGACGCTTTTGATGACAAATCAACTATTTTCCCCCATATATACATGTATTAGTGTGTATGTGTGAGGTGTGTGTGTTTAAGTGTGTGGTGTGTTTGTGTGTGTTGTGTAAACCTTCATACATTTATGTAATATATGTGTGCTCACAGATACGTTATAATGAAGTAGTGAACACTTATATGGGATGCGAATGAATGAATGAATGAATGAATGAATAAATGAATGAATGAATGAATGAATGAATGAATGAATGAATGAATGAATGAATGAATGAATGAATGAATGAATGAATGAATGAATGACAATATGAATGAATGAATGAATGAATGAATGAATGAATGAATGAATGAATGAATGAATGAATGAATGAATGAATGAATGAATGAATGAATGAATGAATGAATGAATGAATGAATGAATGAATGAATGAATGAATGAATGAATGAATGAATGAATGAATGAATGAATGAATGAATGAATGAATGAATGAATGAATGAATGAATGAATGAATGAATGAATGAATGAATGAATGAATGAATGAATGAATGAATGAATGAATGAATGAATGAATGAATGAATGAATGAATGAATGAATGAATGAATGAATGAATGAATGAATGAATGAATGAATGAATGAATGAACAGTTAATGACAATGGATGAGGGTGAAGTTTATCTTCCAGATAAAAAGATAAAAAGTACATAAATTTGAAAGTAATAATTTTTGAGAAAAAAAATAACCTACAATGCACACATACACACATGCACGCACGCACGCATACACACACACGCACGCACGCACACACACACACGCACGCACGTAGATACATATTTATGAGAGAATGATGCTATTTGTTAATTGCGGAGTTCCAGCACGGCACGATGGAAGCGGAGATCATTGGTGGGCCATAAACAAACGCTGCCGAACGCTGACACGGATTGCGTAATACATGTTTACAGTGCAATAAATATCCACAACTTGAATGATAAGAGTTCGCAAGGTGATTACAAATTAATTAACGGTAATAAAAAGTACATAAATTTGAAAGTAAGATTTTTATTTATAAAATCAAAAAAGAATAAAAATAATTCAAACGACTTTGCTAAAATTATCAAGTCTAAAATATAATTTAATTGCATCTTGAAACATCCTTGATGGTTAAAAATAACGACACTGTTTAAATTTAATAATAAAAGGAGAAGGAATAAAACATTTTTTCTCCTGAAACAAACAGCAAACACGGAAGCGTGTCTGTAACCAACAACCTCCATACCAACAACCAAACAAATAACATTAACATTAACGAGTTGATACAAAAAAAACAGCAACAGCAGCGGCAACAACAACAACAATGAAATAATGAAAGGAAGAACTCCACCGACAAGAATGAGAGTATTAAATTATGGGTATGTTGTCTTTTTAAAATGTTTATCGATCTAAGACGATTTATCCTGGCCAAAACATTGCAAACAAAGCAGAGTGCTGATGAAAATCAATATATTCAATGCATCCCATCGAGGCACACTCCACTCTGCATTCCACGTTCTCCTGCCTGTCACGCTTCCGATGGAATATATGCATGCTTCTTCTTCGGAACGCGAGTTGTGGCCTGGGGTTGTACACAAAAATGTACATACGCCTGTACTGTATATACGTATGCGTTGATACGCTAAACACCTCAAGACAGATGATGTGTACACTAGTGTACAAATTGGACAAAAACATCATCGGTTTTCTTGCATGTACAAATTTTACCAGTGCACACTTATGTACGTGTTTATGTTTACGCGTGCCTTGTGTACTGTTCTTTGAAATGTATTCAGGCAGTTGAAAAGATGTTCATTTCTAATGTTTCCCCACAATGTTTATGTGTGTTAAGGTTTATGCGTGTTAATGTTGACGTATTTCTAAACCGCGATAAGAAGCGCGTACGAATGGAAGTACGCCTGCATCAGTGTGCGTGCATCGTAAATAAACAGGGTATGATTAATAAATGAGAAAAGTAATGTATGATGAGCGACAATGACATCAAAAAAGCTTTCCAATAATTCCATGCTTCCAAAATTGGATAATCCATCAGTCTCAGGAAGGACATCGCAACACAACAACGTCATATTTCGTGACGTCACAACAACAACAACAACATTTCACCACTTGACGTCAGACCATTCTCACTATACACCGCAACATTTTACACACTATCGAAGCATTTCATGCAAAATGAAAACATCTCGTCACGTGACATGAAAAGATTTCGTCACGTGACATGACATGAAAGATCATCTGACCTTCGTAAAAGATTCTGTCTTTGATGGGCACGTTGGCCACTTGCATCATGGTGTTGATATCCTTCTCCGTCAGGTTCAGACCCACTTCCTTCATTGTTTCTTGCAATTCGTGCCTGCGCGTGTGTGAATTGTTACCAGTGAATTGTTACCAGTGAATTGTTACCAGTGAATTGTTACCAGTGAATTGTTACCAGTGAATTGTTACCAGTGAATTGTTACCAGTGAATTGTTACCAGTGAATTGTTACCAGGGAATTGATTCAAGTGAATTATTATCGGATGCATTGTCATCATGTGAATTGTTATCATCACATGCATTGTCATCGCGTGAATTAAACAATGTTATTTTGCGCATTATTATTTCCCAACACTTAAGAATCTCCTATGAAAATGAACGATGACTGACTTTATATCAGAGTATTTCTTCAACAGTGTTTAAACTATTCGAACCACAAATGTTATTTGAAATTTTTACAGAAACAATTAATGAAGCATTTCATGTAGTAGGATAAAGTTAAAAATGCGCTAAAGTCAGCTGAGTGGCAAAAACTTTTCAAGAAATATAATTTATTTTTTTATGGGTTCAACGTTTTTTAAAAAGCATTTGTTATACCTACCAAGGCTGTTTTATGTTTCGGCTGATGAAATTTTTTAGAAATTTTGTAATTCCCTCATCTGATTGGAGAATGTTTCTATTGAGAAATGAAATGGCATCTACATTATTAAATTTTTATGAAAAACGATCGAAATTCATTAAATCATTTGTTTGTTTGCTGACTTTAATTAAATTTTTAATTCTTTCAATCTTTCATTTTTTTGCTATCTCACTCACTCCTTCACGCAATCAGCTACTGTTTCTGTAAACATCGTCAGAGGAACCAAAATTGTAATAATATTGTTGTAACTCTTCGAACGCTCGTTACCACCGACACCAATGTTATAACTTCAGGCATCTATATCCATTCATATTTCCAACACCAGTGTTGTAGCTTCCAACGATCGTCAAGTTATCGTTATTCCGTAGGTTCAAGATTTCCGAACACAACAGCTTCAAACGCAAACTTGGTTGAACATTCATTCCAATGGCAACAGTAATAAAAAACTAAATTAATTCAAATATTTACATAAATCACAATTACAATTTCTCTTCAGACTTCGCTACTCACACACTGCACAGCGTGTCTTGTATAGCCAACAGTAGAACGAATTAAAAATAAAAGCAGAAAACATTTCAAACAAATGACAAAAAATTAAACAAGCAGACGACAATTACGATTTCAACTTAAAGAAACATCAAAGAAATAAAGATCTTATCACAAATTATAATTTTAATTTCCAAAACTTGAAATCATAAAACCATAATGCTTTCACCTGTCAATGTAACCATTGTGGTCTTTGTCCAGCGCATCAAATAACCTTCTGACCTCAGCCTCTGTGGCCCTCTTGTTCGAATGTTGGGAGTCGGGGAAGGGTGGATCGTAGGATGAACTCTTCCATTTAGACATCTTTACAGCGTGGTTCAAGTCTCTGCTGAGTTTGTCGTGAATAATTATTATTATTATTATTATTATTATTATTATTATTATTATTATTATTATTATTATTATTATTATAGCCAATCAAATGAGCATCAATGTCTTAAGACAATGTTATTACAGCATTAGTATTAGTTTTATTACTGCTGTGGTTGACCCGCAAAATATAAACGCTTGCGTTCGTTTAACCTGACCTTCTCGTTGCTCTTACTGTTGTGGTGATTTTGTTTCGTCTCACTAACTAAGCAACGAATCTATGGCGATTTGGTCGAACTCTTCGAATGATTAACGCAAAAACAGATAAATTGTTTTAAAATATTAACAGTAATGTTAATGATGATAATAACATAGCTGTTAGTGAATTTTTTAAAATATGAATTTAACAATTCATGAATGAGACTATGGTCATTTTATAAGCTGAAGTCTTCAATAATTTTATTAAAAACGGTTTTAATACCATGACAAAATTGAAATTTCTAATGTTGTCAGCAAAAGTTTACTTGCTTTGTTATATCCAAAAAAGTGTTTCAGCAGTGAATCCGTTTGATTTTTCTTCTTCTTGTTTCAAAAAGTCTGTCAAAAATAAAAAAAAACTAATATTTATTATATGTTTAACTAATAAATTTAAATCATATATCGTAATTATCAAAATTAAAAATAAATCAAAGTTGAAAGAAAATTATGAAGAAAATATTTTTTATTGGTGTTCGTAACCGAATCTACCACAACTATTTGGCTTCAATGTTTTAATATGAATAATCCACTATTAAAAATTATTTGTTAAATAATAAAAATAATGCAGGAGTTTTTGTTAGAATACTTAATAATCATATCATGATGGTACCACGATGATATCATGAAGATATCATGAGGATATCATCTCAATATCATCATGGTACTAGCATCTCATTCATTATTCATTTTTATATCATTTAAATCTTGCAGTAGCCATTCATCATCATGTATTTTTTTAATGGAATTTTCTTTCAACGTTACTTCAAACAGTAGCTAAAGAGTAGTAGTATTACAATAAAAAATGTAAATATAAAATGAAAAAATTGTTGCTAATGTAAAAATTAAAAAGATACAACATTTGTAAACTTTAATATTCTCTCAAAAACTAAACATTAACGTATATTAATATCATTATTCTAATGTAAAAGAACCAAGCTAAAATGAAACAAATTATTTCGTTTCAAAGCCCAACGTAGCATGTATAACGTTCGAATTTAAAATTGAAACATTTTAAATAAATTACATCAGATATGAGACGCGGAAATAAAATTTCAATGATAAAAAATTGAGATGAGGTATACCTACGTCTGGGCGAACACGCAAACAAATTGAAGACTAAATTATTAAAAAAGAACGTTTATACGATCATTAATTTCAACAACTAATTCAGTATTTATTAATTTTAACTATCATTTGCCAACCAAGTAAAATAGTATATTGATACACGTTTGTTAAAAGTTGCGTGTAAAATTACCGAACAAGACAAATGGATCGAAAAAAAATTGTTAAAGTTCTTGAAATGCAACTCAAAAGTTTCAATAGTTAATGAAATAATCCGTTTTATGCATCATAAGATAAACAAATTTTGCAACAAAATGGAAAAAATGTGGGTGTGTTTGAAATGGGAGTCATTTGGGAAGGATTCCATGTTTAGATGCGCTGATTAAAACTAAATTGCTCAAATAGAGATTTATCGGGGAAACTGTATTAACATTCAGCCAAATGTAGCAGGGAAAGAGACGTTTCTTTTCAAATAATTCACCTAATATCTTGAGATCAAATCGTTAGGTGTTTAACATGAATTTGAATTCAATAAAAAAAAGAAGATACAAATAATCATAAAATATGAACAGATGTAAAAACAAACGCCGATCAAAAACAGTTGAAAAAATAGATGAATTCAAAAACAGCAACAAAAGCAAACAAAAAATAAAAGAAAAAATCAGAAAGGGAATTCACGTTAAAATTATATAGGAGTTTTCCCAGGAAGTTTTGATACATAATTGTGTCCTTTGTATGACGTCGTTCGTGACGTATGACATGCCTTTACTTCCATCTGCGTATTTTTAGATGTGACGTGTGTGGGTGTATGCGTGAGTTTGTGTACGTGCATGTAGGCGTCAATTCTCAAACATCCGTGTACGTGTTGTGTGTGCACTCAAAAATAAAAATGAATGACTGTGTGGGTAATTCGAATTTAATTTAAAATACCCCAAGTCTATAAGTGTACTACATGTTGCTACGTTTGGGTGTTTAATCAGATTGCTGCTGTGTCAATCGGTTAATGTGTGTGTTCTACACGTGTGCGTGTGTGTGTGCGTGCGTGCGTATGTGTGTGATTAATCAAGTATTTGTGTATGTGTTAATGTTTGTGCATGTTTTTTTTAATGTGTGTGCATATCTGTTAATGTGTCTGCTGTGTGTGTGTTCATTTATACCTCGTTTTTAAAGAAGACTTGCATAATTACTTAGTGAATTTTTTTAAACGATGTAGAGCTTAATTTTTGAGATACGATGGGGACCCGCGTGCAATCCCTCGTTATAAGACGGGCACGCCTGCACTCCGCAATACGTACACGGCGTATTATTTGTCATTAATTTGATGACGTCATCATTATCCTTGCTAATAACATCATTAAGCATAGAGGAAGTTATGGTATTGATTGTGATTGCAATTTTAATAATGTCTGTAAATAGCTATGATGGTGGTGATAATGATGTTAAAAATGATGATGATGATGATGATGGCGGTGGTGATGATGATGATGATGACGGTCACTGTGAATGTGAAGAGGGAATGAAAGTGACGATGTTGATGGGAGTGGAAACAATGATGGTGAAGATGACGATGAGAATGGAGAGGACGTGAATGGAGATGATGATAATGAGGTGGCAAAAATAACTCTAATGATGACGGAGATGGAAACGACGACGACGACACTCCTGATAGTGATAGCGAAAACATACAAACGAGGATTGCGACCACCGAAGGCCACAGATCAAAATATGGAAAAAAATTTCAGACCGACATAGAAAGGATAGAAATGTACAAAACGCTGAATAGAGAAGTAAAAAGTTACAAAACCAATAATTTATATACACACCACACCCACACACCACACACACACACACACACACACACACAGACACACACAGACATACACACACAAACACACTCACATACACATAGCAGCAAGTTTTATTCTCAGCAGAAAACTCAAACATCAAGCCATCCTGTGGGAAAGAATGAACGCGTCCAACTCTGTCCATACGTTACAAGACCAATGTCTGAGACGCAGAATATTATTAATAATAATATTATTATTATTATTACTACTGCTAACAATGTTAATAATAATAATACCATATTACTTGCTCGATGGTTTAATGGTTAAGGTGATTGACATCTCTTTTGCACTAACCAGTTTTGAATGCATGATTCGCCTGTACATATTTGCATGCACACTTCATAGTGTAGAGGTAGTGATGTCCTTGCAAAGAAGTTCCAGAGAGCGAATTGAAATAAACGGAAATAATAAAAACCATAAGACGGGAAATGATAGTATCAACGAAATAAACACAAAAAACAATAAAAATAATAACAAACATTACCAAAACAATAAATAATAATAATAAATTTAAATAAAATTAAAAATGGCAAATAATAATAACAACAAAATAAACACAAAAAAACAATAAAAATAATAACAAACATTACCAAAACAATAAATAATAATAATAAATTTAAATAAAATTAAAAATGGCAAAAACATGATGTTGCAAAAGTACATTGTCAGAACGCTTCATTAATCGCGTTCATTACTCATCGCGACAATTGGACAGACGAACGAACAAACGAACAGACGAACGAACGAAAGAACAAACGAGCGAACGAACCATCCAAACAACCAATGATTGAGCGTACAATTACTCATGCATAAAAATGATGAAATGATTTATTTGCGTGTAGACGCCACCAGAAAATGACGTTTTCAATTTAAAATTAATTAATCTTTTTTTTTAAATTACTATTTTTTTTTAAATTAATTTCAAATAAAATATAATTTAAAATAATTAAGCTATGTATTCGAAAATAAAACTTAATAAAATTGATACAAATCAAAATTTTTCATGGCACATTCAGACATAAACACTTAAAACACATAGATATACATACATGCTCGCTCATCGCCCATTCACTTATATACACACACACACCACATACGCACACACACCTATACAACACTCAAACACGCACACATGCATACATACACACAAATACATAGTACATTCAAAGTCATAAATAGGTGTTTACATACTTACACACACCCATTCATACACACGTAAACAAACATAGATATACATGGTACACAAACACACACACGCGCACGTACACACACATACAAATTCGCACAGATTTCTAATTGTGGATGTGTCTCAACTCGGTAGGGGAGACATCATTTGCATTAGGAAGCAAGGCATATTTATATCGCACTGAGGTTAAAAATTCGCATTTTGATAAATTTGTTTGTAGAAAATTTGTTTGTACAAAAAATGTTGGCACTTTATTCATCATCACAGCCATCATTATCATCATCACTATCATCATTACCATCATCATCATCACCACCACCATCACCATCATCATCACCATCATCGTCACCATCATCGTCATCATCTTCACCACCACCACTATTTTCACCGATGTTTTGTTTTTGTTGGGTTCTCATTATTATAGACATTATCGTCATAACCGTCTGTCCGTTTGTTTGTATACGATCAACATAGATTTGCGTCGTCGTCATCATTTCATCATCACCACCATCGTCATTATTATTATTATATTATGATTATCATTATAATTAATTTTTTGTTTTTACATACAATACAATACATTACTTTCTCCTCGTTATAAAACATAACGATAAAAAGGCATGATGGTTGTGACAGAGTTCGTTGAAGAACTCATCGTGCACAAACAACTACCCGGAACATAAATTGACAGAGTTCTGCAGAATGTCATTCAAAAATATATAATCATTTGTTCTCAAGAAAAACAAAAAAAAACTGCGAAAATGAAATGTTCGATGAAATGTTGAATTCGCTTGTTCCAAATTGCGATTGACATTTATCTCACCATAATTTTTGTCCCCATCATCACCCTCAACATCATCATCATCATCATCAACAACATCATCGCTACATCATCATCATCAACATCATCATTATCACTATGATCACCGTCATCATCATTATCATTATTATCACTTTGTCATTATCATTTCCGCATCATCATGAACACTGCTATATCATCATCATCATCAACAACAACAACATCATCATCAACAACAAATAATCATCATCTTCTTCATCATCGTCCTCATCTTCATCATATGGATGGTCATCATAATCATGAAAGACTCCACCCAACATTTATGTGTACGTTTGTTTACAGCTTCTGGGAAAACTCAGTGATTCTATAAATAGCAACGTGGTTCGATGCTTTGGCTCGCTAACATGTATAGATCAATACATTGCTGTATGCTTCTTATTCGAGACCCCTTACACTTATATACACAAACACGCATACATACATGCATACATACATGCATACATACATACATATTTAGATACTTACTTATATATACACATACAAATATACGTACACACGTACATATACATAAAAACATGCATGTAAAAACATAAATACATGCATACATATTCAAATAAATAAATACACACATACACACATACATGTTTAATAGAAAAAAAATATTTACATATATATATATATATATATATATATATATACTTATATATATATATATATATATATATAAAATACAGATGTGCGTGTGTGTCTCTATTTGGTTTCTATCGTCATCATCATCAGCAGCAGCAACGCCACCACCATCATTCATCATCATCATCACTTCCTCATCGTAGCGACGCGCTCCTCCATCTTGCCTCCACTGCACACAAGACTCCGATCCCTGCCTGCCATCAGCTGATTACCAATTTCCAAAAAGATCAGCAACTTGATTTGTGCAGAGATTTACACACAAACAAACAATCAGACAACAGAGGATAGAAATGATGGACTGACGATGAAAATAAAAGAATGAAAGAAAGTTGCACGCACTTTAGATCGTGCACCGCATGTTTGTATGCGTGAGTGCACGTTCCAAATGTTGTCGTACATACATCATGATAAATAAGTAACGTACATGTTGAGTTTGTTTGTACCCACCCGAATCATCAGCTGCTTCGTACACTCGCCTGTCTGCGCGTGCGTCGGCATGTGCACGAGAATGCAGATGTACGTGCGTGAGAGCATTTGAGCGGTGATACATGGGTGTGGGTCTGGCTTCAATATGCAAATGCAATTTGTATTGCCGCCTATATAAATATTCATGCAAGCTTCTCTCTAAATGTGTGTAAGTGATTGAATTGTGTTGGTTTTGTTTTTGAGATGGCTTGAGTTTGTGATATGTACGTACATGTTTTTGAAAGAAGCATGTGCTCATCATGTAAAAGTGAAATGACTACGATTTGTTATGCGTGTTGAAAGTGTGAGCTCTCGAGATGTACAGCGTATAAAATTTGCCACATACAAAATATAATTTAGATGAAATGTGCTACGTATAACGTGTGTGTACGCTCTGCAACATGAAGAGAGGTTGGCTGAATTGTCCATCCTTTTGCGAACCAACTAAATAATGATATTCACCATGCATGCTGTTCCTGCAAACCACACCCACACACACACACACACACACACACACACACACAGATAGACAGACACACACACACACAGACATACACACACACACGCAGACATACACACACACACACGCACATCAAAGTATGCATAATAATACATGTTCATGTTCAAATTTTATTGTACAACAAATGCATCGATATGAAATTGGGTGCCCATGAAGAAACCCAATAAATATCAAAATATGGATTTGTCGCATTTTTTTCATGTCGGACTTCTTTCGCGAAAAGATCAAAATTATCCTGCACATCACTCCAACCACAATGTAACAACAACAATATAACAACAACAACGTAACTAACAATAACACAGCTAAAAACAACATAACAACAAATACAACTAACAACAACATACCTAACAACAACATAACAACAACTGCGTTGAAAAGTTTTGGCACAACAGGAAAAGTTAAAAAAATAAAACTATGAATGATGATTGAAGTTTTGAGATGTTTGTTTGGCAACGACGTCTTGTGTATGGATGGATGAATAGATGGATGGATGAAAAGAAAGAAGGATGGATAAATAGATAGATAGATAAATAAATGGATCGGTAAATAATTGGATAGACCAATGAAAGAATTGATGAACAAACAAACGAATTGTGGCCCTTAAAAAAGACGTATGTAACATGAAGCTACAAAGTGTTGTCTTCAAAATAAACAATAACCGCTAAATGGTGGGATGTTGAGCTTGAAAGAACAATTTCAGACAGGTAGGTGTGTGTGTATTTGTGTGTGTGTTTGTGTGTGTATTTGTGTGCGTATTTGTGTATGTGAGAGAGAGAGAGAGAGAGAGAGGGGGGGGGAGAGAAAGAGATTGCAGATAATAAATTAATTTTAAACCGTCAAAATATAAAAAAACTTATAAACATAAGAAGCTATTGCAAAGGCGATGGTGATAATGGCGACGATATGATGGTTGCATTGACAACGAAGATGACGAGGTCATCATCAAAATGATGGCTGCGATGAAGCTGGAAATGAAGGTAAAAACGTGAAATTAAACCTTAACTTGTCCAGAAGCTCAGGTTGTACCTTCTCCCCGTGCGAGTGCGAAGTTTTATGAGAGATCCAGTTGAATCAACGTGTCAATCAATTATAAGCCTACCAAATTTTACAAACCAAGTAAATATGCTGTGCTTTAAATATCGTTGTAATTACTGATTTTAATACACCGGCCAGCCAAACAACCAGCCAACCAGTCTATTTACTTGTTCTTTGATTACTTACCACTCAACACACTTTTAATATTTTATTACTAATTACCTCAAGTAACTGGTAGCAGTGCAGATCACACGGAAATTGTTTGTCTTACAAAGTTGTTTTTTTTATTTTTATCTTTATGTGATCCTCTGTTTGAGCGTTGTTTCTAATTTATTTTTTTATCAGAACATTTTTTATTAGCAATTTAGGTACAAAATGCCAACAAAATAATTTTTTTTATAAAAATGAATGAATGGTTCAACCCTGGATTTAGTCTGAGAAGTGAATGTTTGTTAAAGTTGAATTCAACAACATTCACCCATGTTTTATTTTTAGATTATTGTTTGAAATTTTTTCAGTTGCACCAAAAACATTCAAAGTTGTTTACAAAGTTAAATTTTTTCAAAACTTCAAATTTATTTCTTCTACTTTTTTTCAAATTTAAACCTACATTCAACATTTTCAACTTTCAACATAAATTATTTTACGTTGGTTGGGTTGACCTGAGAAACCAGGCAATATTAATGTACATTGTACATTTATCCCGAATCTATCTATACATCTTTCATGTATCTTTCTGTATAATTATAACGTATCTATCTATACATCTATCATGTATCTATCTATATATCTATCATGTATCTATCTATACATCTATCACGTATCTATTTATATATCTATCATGTATCTTTCTGTACATCTATCACTAATTTATCAATACATCTATCACGTATCTATCTATACATCTATCACGTATCAAATATTGCCTCTCCATAAAGTTCAATTTGTTTCTCCCATGATATACTTCTTTGCTTAAATCGAAATAAAGAATTTCAAAATTCATAAAAAAATCAGATTAAATATTGAATCAAAACCGGCAACTAAATGTGTTCTTCATTTGATCATCAGTGCTTTCTTAAACTTACACTGTTGTTATATTTATGAAGCTTCAGAAAACAAATTAGATATATATTGTTGCCCATGAAATTTCAAACGAACCAACAAACAAACAAATAAACAAACATCAATTAACGAAATATCGGTAAATGTATGTACGTATGTACGTATGTATGTATGTATGTATGTATGTATGTATGTATGTATGTATGTATGTATGTATGTATGTATGTATGTATGTATGTATGTATGTATGTATGTATGTTTGTATGTATGTATGTATGAATGTATGTATGTATCAAATCAAATCACTTCAAATCAAATCACTTTTATTCAATCAAACAAAACAAAAGCATGAATGATTCGGAGACCAAAAAAAGAAAATTAATTCTTGTGGGCTCGGCCACCGTGCAGCTCAAAATTGCTTCTCAATGATAAAATAAAATTGTCAATAGGAGAAAATGTATCAATGTTAATGAAATATGTACACACTTATATACATATATATACATATACATTATTATCCTTGAAAAACAGAACTTTTCGTAATTAAAAAATTTTTCAGTTTATTTTTAAAAAGATGCAAAGTGTTACAATCTTTAATTTCTTGTGGAATCGTCTCCCATATTCCTGGGCCGGTATGTTTCAAACTCATGCAGAGTACTTTAATTCTGGCTGGTGGAGCATAGAAAAGTGGCGTGTGGCGTGTAGTTCTTGCTTGAATGGAAGTTCCAAAAGTGAAAAAGTTTCTAAAAAATGCCGGCAATTGCTGACGTAGAAATCTAAAAATGAATGTTGCAACGTGGTAGATGAACAAGTTTTTGATGTTGAGTATTTTCATCTCGAGATAATATCCACTTGTGTGACAATGAGGATGAAGATTTTTAAATATTCTGATGAATCGGTTTTGGCATTTTGTTAACTGTTTTAGATGAATGTCAGGACTGTTTCCCCAAATTACGTTGCAGTAGATGAGGTGAGGAAAGATTAACGAATAATACAGGTCAATTAGAGTAGGTTTATTTAATTTATTTTTAATTTTGCTTATAACTCCTAGGGTTTTGCATATTCTTTTAGACATAGTATCTATGTGAATATCCCAAGAAAGATTGTCCTTGATTGTTACTCCAAGGAATTTTGTGCTGGTTGAGCGAGGAATAGAAATATTGTTCATTTTTATGTCTAGGTTAGGTATAATATTTGTTAAAATTTTCGGACCAAAAATAATGTAATTACATTTAGAATAATTTATTATTAATTTATTTTTGATAAACCTAGGTTGATATATTTTGAAGACTGTTATTGATGTATTCTACTTCTTTCAATGGGTCTTTAGTTGGGAAGAGAGATGTTAGTGTCATCTGCATATAGAGAGGTGAT